GGTGAGGAGCACCGAAGAGGAGTCTAACCGACTATCAGCCGGTTAATATACCAAAACCAGCATGAGCTCCCAGGCCTGGTCCGAAAACAGGCGAGTGGCCCAGTCCTTACGCAAACACAAAACGTCAAAGGCTAAAAAAGGAAACTGAAAAAACTTACTATTACCGCCTAACAGCCCTTCTCTCCTGCAGGCAAGCCTGATCGGTTTGCCACCCGACCTCTGGTACCAACCTGTTTCAAAAATAGCAACCCTACTTGCACACGGGAATAGTCCCAGGTCCCATATCAGTCCCGTTCCTTCATTCTAAACGAGAGTTAAGAACACGAACGAGAAAGGGAACTGTCTACGCCAAAATCCAAACGTACCATGCGAAGTACCTATCTACGTTCAATCATCAAACACCATTCAAAGCAAACATCCTACCTACTCCATCCATGAGACGAATATGCACTCAGAAAGGTAGAATCCTAGACATATGATCTAAGAAGGTCGAAACGCTCCTGTTGAAATTGGAGTTAAGAAGGAGAAGATACCCCGACCATTTCTTCGCGAGGGCACTTAAGAACTTTGCCAGGGATAAGAGCCCATTGTGGAAATTGTTGGCGGAATTGTTGGGAAAGGAATGGAATGAATGGTAGGAAGTGCGCACGTGAGGATAACTCCCGCCGGTAGTGGAGTATTCCTCCGCCGATAGTATGTGACTCAAAGTCCTGAAAAACTCTGAAAATCAAGTCAGCACCGTCCAACAGTTCCTTCTCGTTCTTCATAGACAAGCAGCAACCAAGGAAAGGAAATTCCTTTCTGACACTCAAACGACATCCCAAGAAGTCCCACGAGTCTTCCCCATCGTCTGTCTTTTTCAGGGTCAGCACCTTGTCATAGCAATTCTCGAATTTAGCCCGGATAACTTCGGCTTTCTTCCTCGGTTCCGGTTTTCGATGGTCGAAGGCTACGAAAAGCGACGCATCATCGACATATCGAAGACCGGCCATGAGTCGCCTATCGCTGCCTAATGCCATCAGAAAATCCCGCTCAGCTTTCGCGCACATCATGCATGCTAACGGGGGACTGGTCGACTTCCCATCGGGATTCCTATGACCTGCTGCAAAACGATCTTTCCTGCCATCGTGAAACAACCTTCTAACTCGAAGTTTACAAAATTCCGGATCATTTCAAAACTTACAAACTGATAACCATCCACACTGTCCTGTCTGCTGAACGAAGTGCCTTTCCCTCTTTGTCTAACAAACACACCCTGAAAACCTTTTGACTCGAACCACCAGATACACCAATCGACAACTCGTATGATAGTCGCATGCGGAAGTCTGCTAAACATATCTTTGATATCGTACGAGCTGCTCAAGATCTGCGCATTCCTACAAACACGACGCATACTCTGGTTTATCCCAATCAGTCTGCCGCACAACTCAGAGACAAACTTCAAATTGAAATGCTTACTCTCAGGTATTGAAAACAACATCCCATTCAGTGCACGTGCTATCTTCTTACATGCGGCATTACTCGGCTCCCTGAACGTTGGACAAATCGGTCTATATTTCGCCGTGTCCTTGTGTTTTGGCAGGGTGTAAGCTCTACCCAATTTACCATCCTTCTTCCAAAGCGCAATCTGTTCGAAGTTCCCGCCTTTGTATGCAGCATGCGTCAATCCAATGATATCCTCCTCCATTTCCTTTCGAGTTACATACCCCTCATTACATGTGAACGTCATCTTCATTCCTTCTGCATATACTGCTGGACACATGACCAGTGTGTCTCCGGGATTTCGATCCAGCGGACAGCAAACAAGCCCTCTCAAGTCTTCGTGCAACTGACGTACCACGTATGCATCACCGCTATCCCCAATCGCATACGCCCTTATGCACACATCGACTTCCTCTCTCGTGAATTCTGCCTTCCCCACATTCCTCCCTGACCAACTCAGATCCGAGAAACCGTCCGCTACTTCCTTGGACAGTCTCGCCGACAGTCCTTCCTTCGCGTCTTTTGGTACATTCTTAGCGTTGCGGGCTATCGCTGGGCAGCCTTCCCAATCCCCGATGCGAAAATGGACGTGCCCTCCCTGTCTAGGGAAGGGCATGCTAGTGCAAGTGCACTTAGAGACACCATCCGCCGCGAAAACGAGAGTGATTATGGATTAGATCGCCCACGTTCGGACTTCTTGTCCAAACGACACGGGCGCGTCTACGCACCATCTTCACAATCGCGTTATTGATAGGTAATTCCCCGATCCCCCGCCGCGTTAGATTCACCACTTCATTCTTCTTAATCCTGTCGTCGAACTCGACCTTCACAACGATCCTTCCTCGAACGTTCATCCCAAAGCTTCTTCTGAACACGTCTGAGATAATTCGCCTCCCCCTCGTCCTACTCCGTTTCTCTGAAAACAACTTCGCCGCCGCGTAGTACTCGACCAGCTCATCCTGTGACTTATTATACAATCTCTGCGCCTTTCGTTTGTCCTTGAAGATGCTGACGAGGTTCTGTTTTAGCTTCAATGCTTTAGGCATAGCCTCGGTCACATCTCGAAGCGTGATCCATCCTTTGACTTCGAAAAACCTCTTACATTTCCGTAACGACCTAGTATGCTTCCCCACGCACACCCGAGACTCTCCAAACGTTCGTCGCACGACCCGCCAGTTGTCTGCCGAACTACCTCCTCCATATGTCCAGATACGTATCCCCACCTCCCGCGGGGCCTTGGTCAAACTTCGCAGCAGGTCGATCACTCTTACCGTCCTCTCGCCTCCTTCCCTTCGTAGAGCTATAATCGTACTCTTCTCACATGTTCCTCCCTCGATTTTCTTCTTCCCGTTCTCAGTCGTGTTCCTCTCAACATCCCTCCTCCGCTCTTTCTTCCCACGTCTTCTTCGTTTTCTCGACCGCCGCTTCACTCCCTTAGAGTTAAGGGACGGTGACCATGCCCTGATCAAGGTCCGTTCGACGGCCTCTAGTTCCCTTCTGTCCGAGCTAAAGTACACCGACACTGCCACGTATGAGTGAACTCCAACCTTACCTAACCAATTATACAAATTTCTCGACCGCTTGCTATCCCCACTCCTCACACACTTCAGGTGTTCAAGCCATCTCTCAGCCAGAGTCCTTTCTGTCATACCCACATACGTCTGCTTATACCACGGAGAGATGACTACATAGACACAGCTTCGTGGAGATCGGAGGTCCAATCTTCCGAAAAAAGCCTCTTGCTTCCACAGTTCTAAATATTTCTCGCCCCAACGCAACTCCCCTGCTAGAATCAGTTCGCCATAGATCATTAGGTCCGTCTCCTCACTCAGAAGTTCCTACATCATCCTGATCTTCGGAACCACTGCCTTTTTGTGTTCTCATCGATCTCCTTGGACGCGGTGTTGTAGGCAGTGGAACGTTGATGGGATCGTACGCCTTGATGGCGCGACGCATCACCAGGCGGTTAATCGCTAGCTCCCTCTTTCCATATGAGATCCGCTCGTTTTTACAAGCCTCCTTCAACTCATCGATTGTCAAAGCTTTGTACAAAACCCGAATCTCCTCCTCATACTTTTCTCGCGCACCGGGACCCCTTCAGTCACGTGCTTGATGGATAACCAATCTTCCCGACAGGTTCAGCGATAGGTGAAGAAGTACTCGCCATATGGCCAACCTCTCGCAGCTCTTCGATCCTCAATTTTGAAGTCATACCCAAGACGGTCCGTTGTCCTTTTGCCGGAGTAATCAGAGGCGGGCTATCACCTACCGACGCTTCCTTACCCCTCTTGCGCTTCTCGTTGATCTCTAGTCCTACCGCCCGTCGTCGCAGCAGGATTAGCTCCGTTTGATTACTTTTCGTCTTGCTCGAAATGCAGTTTCATTCTCGTTTTCACTGTCATGACGGATCTCCTCTCGAGTCATTCTAAGTAGGCGCGCATCCCGTTCATCTTCCCGCGTTTCTTTTCTTCCAGCTCTTGTAGTCTCTTCCTCTCTTGTTCCTTCCTTGCCGCCTCTTCTTTCCGTTGCGCTTCTTCTCTCGTGGCCCTTTGCTTGGCCTCCTCCCGTTCTTTCGCCATTTCGAAAAAGTATGTTCTCATCGTGCTGTTCATCTTGTCCGTCTCACGTCTGGATCCGTAGTTGTCTGCCGAATGACTTCGTCTCTCTGTGCCGGTTGTCAAAGTGCAGCCACCACCCACATACGGTGGTGGTGGCAGAACAAACGGGACACCCTTATCCCGAGCGTCCCAGTACTCGTCGTAGACGTTTGCGAAATGGTCCGGCTTCCCACATCGGAAACAAGTACGGCCCGCCATCCTGTTCTCGTTACTCCGAGGTGGAGGTCTCCCTCCTCCGCTTCCGGTCGATCCATCGGATCTGCCGGAAGTAGGACCACTCTCGGTACTCTCTCGACTCATTCTTGAACCCGCAGTCACTCACGACCGCCCACTCTTCCACAAACCACCCGGTCAACTCCCAGGCCGTCACCACGTTCACACGTCTTCTTCTCCTCACTTTGACTATGAAACTTCGCCGCCACCCCCTCTAGGTATGATTGCCTAGCATAGCTAGAAGCAAAGGTGACACACGAAACACTTGCAAAAGCAAAGCACTCGAGTAGTCTCGGCTCAGAAAATGCCGTAATTAGCGCAATAGCGCAAAACGCCGCCAACAACAGTCCACAGCCCCAAGATCCGCCAATCTGACCATCAAACCCGACAGAGTCACGCACAGCGCTGRTGACTCCTKTCGGTGAGGAGCACCGAAGAGGAGTCTAACCGACTATCAGCCGGTTAATATACCAAAACCAGCATGAGCTCCCAGGCCTGGTCCGAAAACAGGCGAGGGGCCCAGTCCTTACGTAAACACAAAACGTCAAAGGCTAAAAAAGGAAACTGAAAAAACTTACTATTACCGGCTAACAGCCCTTCTCTCCTGCAGGCAAGCGTGATCGGTCGGCCACCCGACCTCTTGGGGTAGTAGTCCGGTTACTCTTCTCCGAAATTTACCGTCTTGAAATTTATTTTTTTCGTTGAAGTTACCTGCTTGAAATTTACCATTGTTCTTCAAAGTTACCTCGTTTTGAAATTAATCTGCGTCAAAAAAAAAATTTCCGTTTTGAAAATTTATCGTCTCGAACTGTGCTCTCTTTTTGAAATTTACCTTCTTTCTTTCTATGCACTTTCTTGCTAGGCTACCAAAGTGGCCCGGGGCAACTTGCCCGGCCGTGCCAAAAAATATCTGTATATACAGGATCACCAGCCCGTACGTACGGAGGTGCCCGGGCCAACCTCCGTATGTACGGGCGTTCGGGGTCCCGTTCAGGGTCCGAACCCGAAGGCGTTCGACCCCCGCCAAAAAAACTTTCGGGGCCTAAAAATAAGGTTTTTATTCTGGAGTTTTTTTTGTAAGTTCTCTAAGATATGAGGTACATGCCTATAAATTGTGAAGTCATTCTGCTAAGCCAAACAAAAATAAAAAATCGCCAAAGATAGTGGTGTCAAAACGTGACTATTTTGTTTGTTCTCAATTTTTACTTTTTGTTTTCACTTTATTGCGGGGCCTAAACAATTTTATTACATTTTGAATTTTTTATAGTGAGGTTTGTATTATGTGAAGTACACATCTGTAAATTTTCAGGGCATTTGGCTGTGCCAAAAAAAAAAAAAAAATCGCCAAAGATGGTCGTGTTGAAAACGTTCTTGCTCACTCACTAATTTTTATTATTTTTTCATTTTTTTCTTATTAGTTTTTATTTTCTGTTTTTAATTTTTATTTCAAATTTGGTAAGGAATTTGGATGTAATGCGCAGGCAAATGTTGTTTATTTTATTTGTCTTCATAACTTATCTTTTTTCACATTTTTTTCTGGGTTAAGCCGACGTCCGGCCCAGACGGACTGGGCCAGACGAACGGGGGGGTCCGTCCGGCAAAACCAGACGAGCCAAAAAACATCCCAGGAATTTTTTTTTTTTTTTTTTGAAGATGGGGTTGGAGTGCGCTCGCTGAGAGGAGCCCGAATCCGCAGAGAAACTTGTGAAAGTCATGTGCGGTGTGGGGGAGGGAGGGGGAGGGGAGGTGGAGGGGGGGATTTGTCATGTGGGTGTAGCGGAGGTGCTTGCAACTTTTTCTTTTCCTTTTTCTACTGCCGTTTTGCCCCTCCTCCTTCCAGACCCGCCACTCCCCCCTCCAATGTCTCTGGCACCGCCCGCCATAGTGTCGTGGAAGTAGAGGATGCAAGGACAACCAGCGAGGGAAAAACCAAGTTCAAATATTGGAAGAAGAAGAAGAAGAAGAAGACTTAGGGAGGAGGAGGAGAAAGGAGGAGGAGAAGGTGGCGAGAAGAAGACGAAGGGAGGGGGAGGAGGAGGAGTGAAGAAGACGACGGAGGGGAAGGAGGAGAGAGAGGAGGAGGAGCAGGAGGAGGAGGAG